GTCCCAGGACAGAGGGGAGTGAGGAGTGGTGCGCTCAAGTTCGCTGTCGACTTACGAGAGCAACGAAACGGATGTCACGACGCGTAACGTTCTAGCAGTCTACGACAGCCCCATAAATTCCTACACTGATGTGGTGGTGGTGGTGATAGGAAACAAAGCAAGCTTTTGTGGTAGAAGAAATCACCTGTTTACCATGACAGTGAAATTCAGTAGATACTGACAGGCTTTACCGTCAGCATCCCTCGAATGGGCATGCGTGCGTGCCTAACCGAGTTACTACCAAGACAACAGGCCACTGAAAACGTTTAGGCACAGAAACCTCTCCGCACGCAAGATCTACTGCTTACACATGCATAAGATTAACTTGTGGTAGGGAGCCCACACATAGCCGTGTAACGCGGGCTCCTTTTTTTCCAGCGTCTGCACGGCTGTGGTATCTCGTTCACGGACTGACAGAGTTAAGTGACCCTGACAGGCAAGGCGGATCAAAAACTTGATGCAGGACTTTTAGCCAACAGTCGCTCCGGCGTCTGGACTACTGACAATACTCACACACAAGTCCACACTGCATAAAGGATGACTGGTAAACAGAAATCGGCACTTCAGGCGAGCCGCCACAGATGAGAGCGCTACGCTGATAACTCAGTTTCAAATGACTGGCGGATTTCGAAAGTCTGTTTACAAGGTTTAGTAGCCAGTGAACCAAAACTAGAAACAGTGTCTATGACGACAGACTAACGCTGTGCGAGGTGCAATGGCCGCAATCTCTCGTGTCTAAGTCGCCTATGCAAGTCAGAGGAAAGGCCGTGACCGGATCTCCCGATTGAATAAACACTCGAAATGCAGCGACAGATGGTGAGGCACTGATGAACCTTGGTTCAATTAAGTGCTATTAACTATCTTCAGTCATAAAGGCCGCCGTAAGCAGCAGTTGAAATCTAACACTTTGGAAAAATCTACTTCGTGTAAAAACTTCGATGGGTGTGTTGACAAATTAGTCCTGTTAGATTGAACGAAGTCGCCAAATTAGTCGGTTTATCCAAGACGCAAATATCACCAAGCGGCACCTTTGATCAGTTTGTAGTGTAGGCAAAGTTTCTGCCGAATTGGCAGAGTGGTGACAACACCAGTTCTCTATGCAATGACGTCCTCAGGGGGTTTTAAAAGCTCACTGTGTCTATGCACCTGCTATAAACATCCGTTTTACCGCACAGTCGTCGGATCCATCCTAGTGACTGTCTGTCTGTTTCCTGAAAACTATCATTCGAAAGAAGTACACTAACTTCTCGAATGTAACAGTTCAAGCTCGCCGTGATGACAACACGGAGAAATCCGAGGCGGCTGAGGTGGGTTTTGTACGTTGCTCATCAAGTACTGCACAAGTGAATGTAGCGAAAAGGCCATTGCAGAGCCCTGCTGGGCAAATGATTGAGATCTCCAGAACCGTAGATCACCGCGCATTGGGAAAGGCCAGCACAATCACATCCGTAACAACTCCAAACCAACTAGACCTGTCGGCATAGAAGTACTTGGTTTCCAAATACTGTTTATAAAGCAATGAGCGCGTAGCTGCATAACGCAGCCACGGTAAGGAGGCAGAGTAAAATGGGAGGACTCGCTGACCTTTTTAGGTGCTGGTTCAGTAAGGACAGTCGTGGATTCGGCATTTGTGCTCTAAAAGGAACCAAAGATTGGGATAAAGAACATACTGGGAATACACTACTTCTCCAGAAGGAAACGGGGCTGACTTCAGACAGAAAGCAAACGTAAGACAGGAAGGCTCACCTCGTCCTCAATGCTAGTTTCTTCACCCTCGAAGATTTCACCTAATGCCTGTGGGACAAAAAAACGGATAAGGTTTAGTTGAGCCACGGGTGGGGGGAGAGGTCTAAGTAGATGCGAATCTGCACACTATAAGTTGCCTGAGTGAGATCCACGAAATACCAACTGCAACCAGACGAGACTAAGACGGCTACGGTTTAAGTTCGGTTTTCTTTGATTCCATCTATGTGCGCATCAGCTAGCGTGCGTTTGGTTCGGGTATGATCGACCAGCAAAGATATGAATCGGTCTCCGTTTGTGTTCCTTTATCAGCGTACCTCCGAGGTTCCTTAATTGGTTGCTTTGCGACCTGGTTATCGATCGCAATACCACGCACAACACCACCACCAGTGTGTGCTCTTTGTAGTGACTTTAGATGCACGGACCGGTCAAAATAGGACCGACATTTTGACAAGTAAGTGAAAGAACGACCTTGAGGGGAATACTAACCTGCTTATTATCCCTTTCAGCCGTAACATCCTCGTTCACG